AGACGAAGAAGTAGTAGTACTAGTAGTAGTAGAAGAAGTAGAAGTAGTAGGTGGTGGTAGAAGAAGAAGTAGTAGTAGTAGTAGTAGTAGTAGTAGTAGTGATAGTAGAAGAAGTAGTAGTAGTAGTCGTCGTCGTCGTAGTAGTAGTAGTCGTACTACCACTACTACTACTACTACTACTACTACTCCTGCTGCTGCTGCTGCTGCTGCTACTACTACTACTACTGCTGTGCTACTAGTAGTTGCTGCAGTGGGTTTTGTAGTTTTGCGTCTGCCTGTTTATTGTGGGCTCGTTCGGCGAGTTTGCTGTTCATTGCTTTATTACCTCTATCCTTCTTGTCTTGGTTTGGCAGGCGTTGGTGTGCTTCTGCGTGTTTGTCTTTCGTTCGTTCGTTCGTTCGTGTGTCGTTATGTCTTTTTGTAGTTCGTTCTGTCTTTGGCCGTGTGCCGTTGTTTATTTCCTTCGTGGCGTTCTTTCTGCCTATGTCTTGCCTCCAGTTCTGTTTACCCGTGCAACGGACAGCTTCTCGAGCAAACTAAACTATGTTGTTGATCGCTGCTCGCCATACCCTTTCTTTCCCTTTCCTGTGGTTCTTTCGTTGTTTTGCTCCTAAGTTATCATTGCGATCCTGATTTCTGGAGTTGTTCGCTGTGTTGATGTCCATCCAGTTCCTTTCTTTCTTCCTGTCTTCCTTCCTCACTCCCCCCAAACCCTGCTGACGGGGAGACAAGAGGGACGCCAGGCCCTCAGGGCCCCTCAGGGTACCAGGACCAAACAAAAAGCAATAAAAGAATTGGAAATAAGGAAATTACTATGCACATGCAGTGGGCTCCACAGAATATTCAAGGCAAGTGTTCGCAACATCAATGTGAGGCTTAGGACGAGTTCACTCAGCACGCACGATGCAACCAAAGCTTTGCACGAGCGGCTGCAGGACCTAAGCCGCCTCACAGCACAAACACATCCATCTTCGCATGCTGAGTCCCACTCATGTTTATGGCAGAGTAGAAGAGGCGCGAGAAACCAGACGAGATACGTACAGGTGTAGCAACGACCTGAACAAAAAAAGTACCATCACGTCCTTGCACAGTAAGCACGAAAGACTGCTTAAAGTCTAAAGTGGTGTAACTTGAGGGGCGGGGCCAAAGGAACGAATGCTAGCTTGGGCGGGAGGGACGGCAAGCGAAACGAGGCGGCATCATCACATCCACCCGCATCAACACCGGACGGCAAACAGAGCTGACGAGGCGGACTCCAAGCATTATCACATCCAACCGCATCCATCAGCAACGGAGGGGAAACAAAGCTGGCGAGGCGGGCTCCTGGCATCCTCACATGCAACCAGAACCGTGTCAGCAACAACGTGGGGGAAACAGAGATGGCATCATCACCTCCAGCATCTAACCACATCAACAACTCAGCAACAGAGTGAAGGGAGAGGGGGAGGATTTGCTCGAAAGCCTCGCTGTTCCGGCTTTCGTGATTAAGTCTCTGGTTGGGAGACGGTTGGGTGTTGCAGGGCAAGCTGCAGTGGCCAACACATAGGCATAGGCAAGGCGATGCAAGCGATCCTGATCCTGAGAGCATCTGAGAGCCACGCCCCATTTTGCAAGGCCCGCTTCACGGACTGCAGCTCTGCCTCCAACTGCATGAAGTTTCGGCCATCTAAGACAAATCCTTGAAACTTCCCTATCTGCGATGAACGGCCTGGATGTTTGCAAGCTCAGCTGCAGGTGATGCCATGCTCAGGGGCAAGTACCTCGGCCGCCGACTAACAACGATTCAGGCCCTTCAGCCTGCAACTCGCCCCTGCCATGCCAAGGCTGGGCACACGCCCATGCCTTTGCACTCTGTGTTGCGCCCACACAAGCAATAGCGACCAGTTGACCAGTCGCAGCAAGACCGTCCTGGAAAAATCCTGCTGCCTAGCAAGCCGCGTCGCGCAGTGCATGCAAGTGTGCCCTGCAGAAGCCTTTCGGACAAAAGGAACGCTGAACCTGTTGCGCGCTGTTCCGCGGTATCGGTATGATGACTGGCGCGGTTTACCTGCACCAATGGCCGAAATCTCGGGTGGCCACCCTCGAGCCGGCCCGTCACGAAGTCCCCCATGAAGGACCCAAATGACTGCGTCATTTAACCACAGAGAAACTGCTTCTTGGCGACGTTCTACTCGCGATCATTCGGTCCGCCAGTTGGCGTAAAAACTCTGGATCTCCGCAATTTCTCCACAACCAATTATGCAATGGACGACGTGGTGAAACATTGTGAAACGCGTTGGTCTCTTGTGAACTTCGCGAAAAATAGAGCAAGCTACTCAAGCAAGCGGCAAGGGCGCCAGTCACAGCAACAAGCCCAGGCTTGGAGAAGTCTGCAAATCCTGCCGGTTTGCAAAGCTGCCAAGCTTAAATTAAACGTGCCAACATCCAGCTGAAGCATGCAATGCAAGCCGGCGAGCTGCAAAGACAAGGTGTCAAGAAAGAGCTTGACTTCATTTATGTCTGTGCAAAAGCAGGTGTCGGGCTTCATAACTCTATACAGCAGGCATGGTTGGCATCGGCAACCAGGCAGACCTGCAACATTTCGGGCGGAGCCCCTCGGGGCATGTCCACAACCGCCGAAGTCGGTGACGTCGGCGACTCTCCACCAGCTGTCATGGCAGCCTGACGCTATCAATTCTGCCGCTTCAGCTGCAAACAGCATGACCCAAGGGGCCCTTCTCCAAAGACTGCCTGCGCTTCGGTGCGGGAGCGCTGGCCACCACCAGCATCCACATGTGAGGTTGCCTGCATAAGACAACGCGGATGCATATGTCCACTATCCAGCCAAAACACATCTTCTGCCTCATCCAACGCGAGCATAAGCTGCTCCAGCGCTGTTGCAGCTGCCTCCGTGCGACAAGGCTACGATTTCCTTCGCTGTGGCGACATGTAGCCAATTTCTGGGTAGCCGCACTTCTGTCAGAGCCAACTGGCTGCTTCGCCGAGCTCCGGCTAAGTCTGCCCTCGATTCGACTGGACTCACGGAGCGGACACTTGCAACGGATGCACAGGCCTGGCAGCTGAGACCGTCTCTGCAGCGGTAAGAACTTTGCCCCGCAAGACGGACAATCTGCGCATGTCGGCACTATGTCGGACGATTTTGCAAACAACACGGCATCACGTTAAGGGTGGATCAGGGTGGGATGACTCGGGATGATGCAACTGAGCCACTGATCACTGAACCTGTCCCTACAAGTAGGGCTGCACCCCTCGGCGGTACGATGATTTGTAAATCGCGGTCGAGCACGAAGCATTGCACTTCCTCTCTTGTTGACTTTGGCTTCGGGGATTCCCGCTGGTCCGCGCTTCCAATCGAACCAGCTACGAATACGAGGATTACAGCAGATCAGCGGGAAGCGAGGTATGCCAGGTGTGAAGAAACAGCAAGTCCAAGCTAGTCAGAGACCGCAGCGCTCCTGGCAACCGTGCGCTGCACCACTTGGTGGCATGCCTCCCTCTTCATGACCTGAGCTGACAAGAACTACGGGGGCCGCAGGTGCAACGCTGGGCCTGGGCCCGTGCTGTCCCAGCGCCTTTCACGAGCCGGCTCTCCATATCCTTTGCAGCCTTGTGCAGTCCCAAAGGGCAAGGATTCCTATGTGGGTACCGACGCACACCACGACTGAGCACAGCTGCAAGCTGCAGTAAGTTCGAGCATCTTCCGGTGCGTACCGTTCGTGATTCGTTGTGGCATCTCTGTGATCCAACGTGGCAACATGTGGCGGTGTACCAGCCAACTCCATTGCCTGCAAAGTCCTGGTTAGTGTGTGTGATGGCCGCTCATGCTGTGGCGGCTTCAACTGCCCAGTGGCTAGTGGGCTGATCAAACGCAGAAGGCATAACTCCCCACGATTGGAGATCTCATGTTCCAACCTGCGCTCTGAGCAAGGTGCCTCCAGATTGCGCTCAAGTGCCTGCAGCATCTCAAAAAAGCGTTCCTGTAGCCTTTCGCTAACCTGATAATCATAGTTACTCGGGATGGTTGCGCACACAGTGGGACTTGGTGCACACACTCATTTGTTGGTCATGCTTTACCAGACTCTAGCCGGCCCCCGGCCCACCCTCGCCTCTGAGGCCTGTTCAATGTCGAACCTGGCCCAGGATGGCAACCACGGAACTAGCGCGACATTGGCTTGAAAAACTGCAACCTTGACTGATCTGGCTTTGGGGTACCTGAGCTTTCAATCAGCATGGAGCTTGTCACTTCACGGCCCAAAACGCAGAGGGCCAGGCCGGAACGACCACATCGTCTCAGCCACAGGACGGCAGACACACGGGCAGCAAGCGCCTCAAAGACTCCAATCTGCCTCTCCATTGTGCACTGCCTACTAGGCCTATCTGGGCCTATCTTTGTGCAAGAAAGCCACAGTTCAGCCCTTTTCCTCACCTCGCCGTCCTCGCCGTGTTCGGCGAGCCCTGGTTCGGCTCGCCTTTATCGTCATCTTCTAATTCAGGTGGCAGTCCAAGGAGCAACTGAGGTCCGAATTTGGCAAGGTATCCAAGTCGATCTTTGAGGCGTCCCCACCTGTTGATGATGTGATCGTAGTACCCGCGCCGAGTGGTTCCTTTCGACTTCTCGTAGAAAGGATCCTCATGCCCAGCAAGTGCTCGCTCGAAAGGATCCTGAATTACATCACCTTCTGCTGCGATTGGAGACCCTTTTCTCTTCCACACGCCAAGCATCTCCTCCTTCCCGTCGGCCGACAGCTTGGGCATTCGTTGCACAAGAAACCCAATGTGGGCCTCCGGGCCGTTGTCCTTGAAACCTTTGTTGGGCCGCCACTCCTCCACGATATCGTCCCAGTACTTGCCCAGAGTCCGAATGCTCAAATCAAAAAAATGTGGCCTCATATCGTCCTTAGGAACACAAGGCTTGTGGAACTGGTCTGCCATGTTCATGGGCGCTGTGGTCTTTTTTATGCGCGTCTTGCCAACGATATTCATGATTGGGTCAAACATCGGCAGTTTGAAGTCAGCATCCCAAAAGACTTTATGATCTGTTAAATCCTCCAAGTGGACATGTACTCCACGCTTTCCTCCAAAGATTGGTGGCAAAGCATTGAGCGCGATCTCTGGATGCAGCATCACAGCCTCGCCTATTCCATCTGCATCTGGGGACTTGCATCCGTAAATCCTCCCCTGGCCCCGTTGTTCAGCGCCAATATCTGTGTTGTAGATTTCCGGAGATTGAAACTGCAATCGAATTTGCACGTTTCGCTCCAGCCGCGGAGTTTGGCGCATGTCATTCTTGCCGGAACCGCCAGAGCTTTTGTTTTTGGAACCGGCAGCAGGCTGGCCCGCAAACGATGTATCTCCACGGCCTGCACCGTCTGCATGCGACCCATCTGCAACCTGTAAGAACGACAAAGCCTTCTGCTTCCTTATGAATGTTGGGCAGATTGCCTGCAGCAGCACTTCGTTCGGTGTGCAGTTTTCAGACACATGGCAGGGCTCCCCACCACTCTCGCCCATACAGCACTGCAACTGCCTCATGGGTGGCATGTGCATGAAGCGGGCCACCAGCTGGATTCGGCTAGATTTGACACGACTTTGACGAAGAGCATTGACTTATGCACAATTGAGTTGTGGGCTCTTGTTGTGACATTGTTGTGTATACTTGGTACACTTCTCGATTTGTGCGTGTCATCCTTGCGCAGGGGCCATGCTAATCTTCTCTGTATCGTTCCAATTTTGTCGGAGGATTCCCTTCGGGGCTTGAGACAAGCATGGTACGTCCGAAGAACAGCAAACACAAAGCGTTGAAGTGAACTGCATGAAGATGGTATGTAAGGCTGTGTTGCATCGAACCACATACTGCGGTGGCTCGGCAAGTGGGACGTGCTTGGGTAGCGAGTGTTGGGAGCAGAAGCCTTTGGGAAACAAGGAGCACTTGATCTCGTTAGCTTTGGCCTTGTTCTGGCCGTCGAGCACGTCCCTCGTCATGGCTTTGAACCGCAAGCGCTCCTTACATCCAAATCTTGGGCAAATAACGGAACTATACAGCTCGCCTTCAAATGACAAGATGACCACGAGCGGTGGGCCTTGTGGATGCAAGCTGTCAAGAGTTTAGCTGCTGACCGCTCCACACAGCAAACAAGTAGTCGACAAGACTAGGCTTCAGCGGGCAAAACGTGCGGTTGCAACACGCGTGCTCGAATCAGGATCAACCGAAGGTTTGAGATGGTCGGGGCGGGTTGCATAAGTTGCTTTTGACATGCTCGTAGCATGGGTCCCGGCACTTTGGGTTTCGATTGCAAACCCGGCCAGTCCTCTTCCCGCTGACGGACCTGTTCCGTTGCGTCTTCCAAGGAATCACACCTTTGAAGTCGGTGCGTTGCATGATGAAACAACACAAGGTATATTGTGCCAATGCATCGACAATACGAAGGCCGTCATAGTGTGTTGCAGAGGGACATGAGATTAAGCTCTCAGGCGAAGACAAAGCTTCGATGCTCGGGACAGCAGCACTGAGTTGCCTCCGAAACTGCAGAACCTGCCCAAGCCATGCTGCTTGTGCTTGCACGGAACACTTTTCTGTAGAAGCGCACAGTCTTCGCCTGTTTCAGGGCCTGTGCAAGATCTTTCGTCCTGATGCAGGATCTGCCAAAACTGGTTTTTTAAAACAGCGGAAGTTCCGGCCTGATGTGCGATCCAGATTCGAAAGCACCCTCCACTGAAGCCCTCAGCTCTGGCCACGAAGCCTCGAGTCGCGCATAGTCGCGCTGAGGACACTGAAGCTTTGCTGCCGGCATCGATAGCATCTAAGCCCTTTACCCGCAGCCTTTGCAGCAGCTTCACCATTTCCTGGTCTCAGTAACATGTGCGGACATGGTGGGCAACAACAGTCTGCCCCAGAGAGGGCGGGGGATGCAAAAACAGGGAACATTGGGCTTCATGATGTATCGGCCAACCGCTTGAATCGACAAGAATTTACAAGAATCGTATCGATCGAATCGGCCGTCTGGGGCAAGGAAAACTCGCATAGAGACATACACACACAGACAAACACAAACACTAATTGTCCCCACCACCTCAAATCCCGACAAACCCTGCACCGCACATGCCACACAACAAGAGCTGCCGCCAGCTGCATGCAGCCAGACCTTTTTGCGAGCACATCACATCTCAAAAACGCGGGTTGCGCAGAGCCACTCGCACATCCTGGCGGGTTGCCAGCTTCGGCGCACAACCCCAGCAAGGGCACAAAGTGCAGTGGGCACACCCTCAGAAACCCTAACAAGGTCAAATTAACTTATAACTAGTGGAGCAGAGCTACGGGAGAGGATAGTAAGCAACGGCGTCACAGCAAGGAGTGCGGAAGTAGTGCCGGCAATATCAGAGGCATCTTACATCATCCTACAGACAAGGCTGCCGGGCTTCGGGGCCTCTGCAGCGCAGGTTCATGGGCCTGCACAGTAGGGTCCATGCCTAGAGTCACAGACGAAACCAAAGTGACAACAATGTTGAGGTCCAGTGCCAACGGCATCGAAGGTTGCATCGCGACCTGACAGGAATGGGTTCGTAACCAAATTAAAGACGAGGCATACATAATGCGTGGTCGCGTGCCATGCATTGCACCTGTCTGCGGGTTTTGGTACCAAAACCGGCTGATGACTCCATGAAAAATTGGCAGCCTTAGAAATGGCAGAGCTTCAATATCAGGATGCACGAGTGGTCCAGAGTTTCGTCGGCACACCCATGTCATCGCAACATTGTTCTTTGCTCTGTTGACGGAGTTAACCAAGTAACCACGGCTGTTAGCAGGGCTTAGCAGGCAATTGCTAGCTTTATGCCGTAGACACCGCCTGTTTGGGGCTCAGTCGCTTGTGAGGAGATCAATCTTGCGTCAGCAGTGCTGCCGCTGTGTCTTGCAACCAGTGTGCCTTCCGGAGATGTTTATTTCCTGGATTCCTCCTTGAAGTTTAGGCACAAGCTATATTTTCTGGGCCCTTGCTTTGTTGTGATCCTGCAGCTGCATTCGCAACTGTCATGGCGATCAGAGGCTTCGCTGTGCGTCCTGTTTTTGGTTTCCAGCATCCCGTGTGGTCTCCAGCACCCTCAAGCAGGCTGCGGCTCAGAGCTGCAAGCTCTCTGCCCGGAGGCAAGGAATCAGGAAGAGCAGGGTTTCAGTAATCAATGGGCACCATGACAGTCATCATAAACTGCTGGTGGGCTGCTGCCCAGTTAAATCTCAAATTGACTTCATTTTGGGGGTTGGGCTACAAGATCAGTGGCACAGGGGACTCCAAGGGCTTCAACGCAAGAAGAATCATCGAGTTGCCATTGTAAACCTCATGACAGTCAAAATCTACGAGGTGGTTGAGTGCAGCGTGGAGCAGCCACGGGAGTGCATTCGCATGCAGGAAGTGACTTTGCTGGATGACATGGCCGGCTCCTTCGAAGTAAGCATGGATGTTTGCAGTGGCCAGCGACACGTCAATGGAGTCGAGTTCTTTCTGTATCGGGGCACTTTGAAGATCAGTGCCACCCCGACACGCACAGAGGCTACACTGCCAGAGCCAGGATTCATGCGGTTTTGCTGCTGAGGTTTGGCCTAGTGGCCTAAAGTGTTAGTCACCAAGCTAAGCTAGCAACTAAGCTTGCCCACAGGAGCTTGGAAGTTCTGTCGGTTGACCGTCCGGGCGGACCATGCTGAACTTGTGCACATCCTCGAGACCAATCTGTGCCGCAAAATGGAGCTCAACGTGGAGTGCATCTACTTCTTCTCAGAAGCGGACGGTGCTCGCCTTGCATTTATGGTTGGCAAGGGCCTGAAGGACAAGTTCTTCGGCAGAACTGACTTATGCAACTTTCAGCAAGCTCGTTGATCCATTCCCTAGGAATTCAAAGCTGTGACTCACGTATGATATCACGGAAGTCTCCATGGCCACCCTGCCCACTGGTCTGCCGTTCTATCAGCCCAATCATGGCCTCTTACTATCTCTTGCTTGCAGGTTGGGGCAATGGGCAACGGTAGTAGCTAACATGCAAGGCTTGGGGTTTCAGCACTCACAACTAGGACAAGCCAGGCGAGGATTCGAGTACCGCGTACGCACATTGGCGAAGGAGCTAGTAGATTCACCAGCCNNATACCAGCACATTGACCAGCAGAAAATTAAGTAGCCCTGAAGCCAATTAAACTTCCACGTCACAAGCATCCTCCTAAAGACAGCTGCACATGCACGAGCAGAATCCACCCTTGTGAGAGTCTGTCATGCCCTCACGCTCCTACCTCTCCCGTCGAAACACAAGGTGCATGGGTGTTTCTGTCAGTGGTCCCTCCTAGACCTCTGACAAAGAGACCCTTCATCAGCAGCTGTCAGTCCACACATATTGAGACCTTCAGTCATCGAGCCAGTCCTCACGTTTCAGAGTTATCCTTCTGCAAGTCAAGCCGTCATATCTTGTGAACCATGAGCTCACCAGTGTGGCGCTGGGCCTTGTTCATCAGGCCCATCACTCCCTCCAAATCGTAAAATCTAGAATTCCAGCATCATGCAGACCATGCAGGCGTCTTCTTCATCCAGCTATGTGCACCCTTGTGCACCCTGTCTTGGGAAATCACCGACAAACAGAGCCATGGCTATTTGCCACTGTCTTGCATCACGCACTCTCATGGCAGAACAAAGCTTCGAAAAATAGGCCCTCGTCCACAAACATGCCAACAAATTCATGAATTCCCTTGTCGTGCAGGTCCTCACCACTCCTCTGCAGTCCAGTTAGTCGTGCCAACAAAATTCGTAAATTCGGTCGTCATGCATCGCACACTGGTGGGCGTAACAGCATCGCATGACCTTCCTGACAGCCTCGGCTGTTCTCCAGTCCAGACTTCACAGCCTCCAGCGTCTGCAGGAGCGAGTTTATCCATGTTTGCAAGCGCGGGTTAGTGGTTTCTAAGCCCCGGGGCACAGGGAGGAACCCAGAAAAGACCCACAAACCCCCAAGAAAAGAAACCAGAGAAGCACGAAGTGTAGGCACTGACATCCACTGATTTCGGAGTCCTCTTAGCCCTAGGGGGGGGGGGGGGGGGGGGGGNNAGGTTGGGGTGGTCAGGCGATGGGGCGATGCCCGTAACCCGTCCACGTCATGGCGCAGGTCGGTCCGGTGTCCTGTGAGCAGGTCGAATGTTGGGTACTAACATCGGCTTCAACTGAATTTGGGGTTTTGTGACAGAAGGGGGCCGAGAGGGGGAGGGGTGAGGCAAAAGGAAAAAGGGGGGGAGGGGGGCTAATGCGTTTGTGCTTCACCAGCAAAGAACGGGCGGAGGACACGTCGTTAAGATTCATACTCCACAGGACGAAGCGCTTGGCTCAGGGGCTTTGTTGTTTGCAGAGGGGTACGAACAAACGCACAATGGGGCACTCAGTTATTGAAGCCGGACTCGGACAGGACGAAACGCTTGGCTTGGGGCCCCTCGTCACGGTCGCAATACACTTGTTTCATGAATCATGCACGGTTCGAGCGGTGGCCGCATGTCCTTGTCACGGGACCTTACAGGTCTGCACATGACTTGAGCAATCATGCATGGAGTATTTACCTGCAAAGAATTCATGCGCACATGCTGTATAAATTGTACATGCAATAAATTCCCACATGTCATGCAAAAATGCCTAAATTCACATGCAAGAGCGGCCTAAATTCACATGCAGCCTTTGGCCGACAGAGCCCTTGCAAAATTCGCCCTGTGGGCGAGCGGCAGGAAATCCGTCTTTCTCAGAGAGCACCGCCCAGAAGCTGAGACAACATGGCTCTCGGAATACATATAACGCGGCCGTCCTGAAGCGCAAGTGGTGTCAGGGCCGGTCGCCCCACCAGCATCGGCAGCTGTTCATCGAGGTTGAGCATGGTTGGAACCCCCGGGTGAGGTTGCCATCCAGCATGTGGCGGCGAGGACTGGTCAGCGCGCTCCTGCTGGGACTTGTCCTCCATGTGTCCCTTAAGGTCCTCGGCAAGCCCTTTGACGTCTAGCACCAGCTGCTGGGTGTCGTTCAGGGTGTCCCTAAGGATGCAGAGCCTATCAGGCAAATGGTCTGTCCTCCCCTGAAGAGCCTCAAGTTGGCTCTGCCAGCGGACGAGGTCTCTGGTCTCCTTGCAGACCTTCTGCACGTTGTCGTAGTTCTTGGCCATCTCCTTGAGGACCTCCTGGAACTTATCTGCCATGGCAGAGCCGAAGAGGGACTGGTTCTTCTTGAGGGCATTGAAATCCCGCTGGATCGTCGTCGTGCACGTGACCAAGGACGCCTCAAGGTCCGACTTGAGCTTCTCGAAGGCCTTCTTGAGGAAGGTGTCCAACTTCTTGACCAGGTCTTCATTGTGGGACTGACCCGCCTTTTGGAAGAAGTCCTGCAGGTCCTTTTTCAGGGTCTGCAAGTAGTCCTCGATCTCGATGGTGTCCATCCCCTCCGTGTGGAGGTTCGCGGCCGTTCTTGCCAGCCCGGCATGCACGGTGTCCAGTCTCTGGACTAGCTTCTCCCGTGCCTTTGAATTCGCCACCGCCTTGTTGACCACGGCTTGAATTCGTGCTTGCAAGTCTTCAAAAAGCATGCCCTGTCGCGTCATTGCCCCTTCTTCCGTCACCAGGGACTGTAGCTCCAGCAGCATCTTCTTGAGCCCACGTACCAGCTCCACAATTGGGTCGGCGGTGAGATCACTTGCCCCCAGTGTGCCAGCTGCATCCGCTTTGCACTGTGAGAGCATCTGTAGCCGTTGGAGACGACGATTGCGCCCCCAGTACATCCCGGTTGTCGCAACGAGGATCACCACCATGAGTGCCAGCTTGAGCCTCCATGTCCATGTCCAAGCCATAGCTCCGACTGCCGCCTCAAGCAAGGCGTATGTTTGGCCTGTGCTGTTGGAAGGGGCCAGGGCCATGGCAGAGTGCAGAGGACAGCTGCTTTCGGTGGCTTGAGTCGCAGAGACTGCTGCGAGGGCAGTGAGCCTGCGGTCCTAAGCCCTAAACACCGTCGACAATCACAGCCGAAGCACCAAAACCTAACTCGCATCCCAACGGGCCGAGGTGGCTATGAAGTTTGCCAACCAAGCAGGCCTCAGGGTAGTGGGCACAAGGGTGGGCAAACAGAACAGAGTGCTAAGGAAGATAACCCAGCTAGAAACCGAGATCCAAATCCCCAAAGGGTCCAGAAACAGTACTTAAACCGAAGAAGGATCGGGTGCACTTAGGTTCCTTAGGCTCAAGGGCCAAGTAACGGCCGGGGACCACATGTCTACGCCGTGGACATCAAGCAAATTGGTGGGCTAGGCAATTGTTGTGCTAAGGGGGGCCCAGGAGCCTCAGCGCCCAGGAAACTACATTTGTACCCAGCTCTCCTCTTGCAGGACAACCCTCAACCCCAAAGGCCCGGAAATCCAATGGAAGACACGAAATCCGCCTGCGCCCTCTACCCCCTCTCTTCCCATCGACGGCATCACATTTATGCAGCAGGAAACATCGTGACGGGTCATGCACAACTTGCCTGAGATGCATATGGACAAATTCGAGGGCCGAGCATTTAAATTCACATGCACTCAATTTCACAATCATGCATTTGTTCAAATTCGGGACCTCCTCTGCGATCTGTCTCCCTTTGTAGTGTTATACCAACATGCGTTCATGTCAGATGCAGCTGGGCACCATCGGGGACGGCAAGGCGCACAATCGGCAGCTGCTCCCCCTGTGGGCCTTGCTCCAGGTTAGCCAGTCTGTTCTCAACGGCCTGTAGCTGGTGAAGGACAGCTTGTAGTTGCGCCCTCAGAAAGGACGCATGCGACACTTCCGCCACATCGGCTCGGCGAGAATGCAGCTCTCGTACTATGTCATATGTATTGTCGATCACGCCCATCCTCTGCCTGAGCTCCAGGCCATGGAGCACACTATACCCCCGACTCCAAAAGCGTCCCCTCCAGTCAAACTCGAAATCCCTGTCACTGAGGTGCTGGGAGACAAGGGCTTTGAGGGTGACTATGGCCCGAATCCTTGCTCGTTCTTCGGGGCTCCGACTGCGCTTAGCCCAGAGTTTCCCCCCCTGTTGCCCCGGGATCTCACTGGCACGGGCAGCAGCACGGAGGGCTTCGATGCAAAGGTTTTGGACCTGGCGCCTCTCCCGCATGTTGTTTTGCATGTACCTCAAGTCGACCCTGCATGAATTCGCACGAACCCCTCCGATGTGAAGGTCCTGAAGCGGCAAACACTCCGCTCTCTCAAACCAGGCACGAACCTCGTCCTCGATGGACTCGCGTTTTGCCTCGAACCGGAGGTTCCGAGGGGAGACAGACCCGGAAGCTACACTGGGAGAACGGGACCGCAAATCCCTAACCTCAGTTTCCAAGGCACTCAAACGTGCCTCGAAAGCTTGTGTTCCTTCAAGGTGTGCATCCTGCCTACTTTCAAGGGTCTGCATCTTATCTCGGAGAGTCTGATGTGTGACATGAAGCTGTTCAAGAGTGTCCTGTTGCCCCTTGTCCAACCTCAAAAGGCTATGCTGCAAGTCCTGGGCCCACGGAGGCGGCGCTCCATCGCTGATGTCGTAGGTGTCGGGAAGCGGCCTCTTGTCCTTCGGCGTCCCCCCCGCCGCCGTGCAGCAGCCCCGACGAAATAGGGCTGATGTCATCCCCCCCAAAGGCATCGAGGGTTTCCTTTTCATCAATAGGAGTGTCCATGCCGACACGTACGCACGACGGCCGACGAGGAGGAACAGGAGGAGTGGACACGGTGGGCCTCAGAGCAGACGAGGGGAGAAAAATCCTGACCCCAGGGGGAGGAACATGGAGGAACGGCCCCCTTCTCAAGCGCACCGACGGGACAGCCTCCTGGCGGCGCTTGAGCCAAAAT